AAAGTTTTTAAGAGTTTTGTCCCATGAGTACAAGACCTTGTGTTCTTACCCAACCATTAATTCAAAGCAATTAGAGCTGTCAAATTACTACAATACGTTATAGCTAATTTGAATTTGAAAAGGTTCAGGTTTTTTTTATACACCCTGTATACAGGGTGTATAAAAAAAAAGGTAATCTAACTTCAGCGCGCTATTGTATCTGAATTACCCTGCATATGAACGAGATTTTTTCACATTTGGAAAGATCATGCTTTTAGCTGTTGAATGATATCTTCTTCATGCAAAATATATAAATGAGCAAATACGAATCCGATAAAAAATCGTTGAGAGTTTCACCGTTGAGAGTTGGGTTCTAAAACCATTGAAAATGAACCCCCTTTGGTACTTAGCTAAGCTACGACACGTTCGTGATTAATTGCTTTTTCTTTTGTTATCCATTGTTTTAATTAGGCACAGAGGTGAAAATATGCGATTTTGACTAACAATTTTAATCGGCCTCGTACATGCTTATTTTTTCTCCACTTGGCATGAAAAGCATGTCATTCAATAGCTAAAAGCCTGATCTTTCCAAATGTAAAAACCAATTGTTCATACGCCGAGTAATTCACGTATAATAGCGCGCTGAAGTTCGATTACCTTTTTTTGGATACACCCTGTATAGTCCTTTCCAGCTATCTTCTTAACAACCTACACAAAATAATGTAATAATAATATAATCTTAGATTATTATTCATTGCACTGTGTTCACATTTTTTCATTGGCTAAAAGCCTACAAATAATTTTAGGTATTTGTAGGTGCCCGCACTATTTTCAGTGGAAATACTGTAGTAATCTGCAGAGGTTACTGGACGTTACCTTTTTTGTTGAGTCCATATTTAAGATGCTGCCAAATACTGAAGCGATTTGTGCCTTTGTTTCGTCAATTCGTCCCCGCCACATCCCGGATATATACTGCTAGAAACCAAGTTGGCCTTGGCACAGGTTGCATATAGGTGGGATAGGGGGAGGGGATTGTAGTTGAAAAAATCCCTTGAGGATTGAAGCTGAAAGGGCTCCCTGGCTTGAAGGAACTGTAATGCCTTTGTGGTGTGGTTCTCGCAGTGTTGCTCATACACCTGTTTCTGAATATGATGGGAAGAATTTCCTAAGGTCCTCACTGTTTTTAAAAGAAAAAAAAGCTTGATTACTGTACCTTTTTGTTAAAATAGCACGGAAATGAATGTGATGGCCCATGTCGAGTTGGCTCAGCACATGCTGCGAATAGGAGGCAAACTTTTTCCGACAAACCTTGCACTCAAGATACTCTGTGCCCAGGTAGTAATACGAGTTAACATCCAAAACCTTACGGACTGATAAAGGCCGAATTGTGTAAGGTAGCCTATCTAATAGTAGTAACTTTCAATCAAAATAATTTTCAATCAAAAGAGAAACTGTATCATGAAACATATTCAAACCTTGGATCCATTTTCTTTTTGTTTTTCTTGGCATTCGTCATTGCACTTGGATTGACCACCTCAGAATTTCTGAGGGGCCCACAAGAAAAAGGGAAGGAGGAAATAGGGCTCTGGTGCTGCTGGAGCAGTGTTTTGGTGATGACTTGGTTGAGTGGATACCACCACATCTTGAGCGACTTGACAATTTCAGGCTTACCTACATAAAATTACATATTATTACATTAAGTATTTATGAAGCCTTTAAATTTATGCTTATATCCTGCTGTCCAAATCCTATTTAACATACCAACAGCAGGGTTGATATCATTTTCTCATCCATTGCTGTTGCCGCTTCGGTAATGACTCTTGCCAGGCCTTTAGTAAATATATTTCCTAAAACAATTTAAGAAAAACAGACATTAAATACACTGTAAATAAATTGAAATGTGATACGGTAGCTTGGTTATACAATAGCATTGACTCATGAATGGGATTTGAACCCAGACCGGCTGCAATGCAGACCAATTACACCATCAATGCTTCCTTTCCAAGCAGGAACATACATTTTAAATGTTTGTTTACCTTGTTTTGTGAAGCTGATGGAACCACGGCTGCATTAGCCTCTGCTTGCCTTCTTTCTCTATTACACTTCGTACTAAAGAGGAAAGACGCGTCATCGGCCTGGATTTGTTTTTGGGCTTGGATGTAACGCTTTAACTTGTCTAATTGCCATCCAGGATACGTTACGGGTGTTGACAAAATGCTTTCAACATAATTCCTGTGTTCATCCGAGGTAGAATTAAACAAATCAAAACAAAACAAAAACAAAACGATACATTTGTTTATATATTTTGCAGTCTGAAGTTAGAATCAAGCTGGTTCCTGTGAAAATTTTACGCTCAAGCCTCAAGCTAGCCCTTACAAAAATAAACTATAGTTTTCCACCAAAAAGAATAGTTTTTTTTTAAAAAAAATTATAGTTTTTTCGAAAAAAACTATAGTTTGGGGGGAAAAAACTATAGTTTTTGGTGAAAAACTATAGTTTTTGGTGGAAATCTATAGTTTCCAAAAGAAACTATAGTTAACTTCAAAATAACTATAGTTTGTCTGCAATAAACTATAGTTTTATAACTCAAGGGAACTATAGTTTTTTGAAAACTCTAATTGAAAACTCTAATTGAAAACTCTAATTGTAAAACTCTCTGAAACATTGGGGGGATATTGGGATTTTGGGACGCTCGGTCACTGTGTTAGGTGTTGGATTCCAGTAATTGGAACATTGAAAATGGCGGAAATTTTTAGAGTGCGAGATGTCAAGGATGTCTTGAAATATATTTGTAGCGATTCTTATGCGATGGCAAGTGTTATTAATGTAAAATTGCTAAATTTATTAGCATGTCATATTTTCTACAATTACAATATGTAAACAAATGTTTACAAATTTTGTTTTTTTTGCTTTTCTTTCTTCTGCTTTCTTCTTTAGCCACTCGTTTCTTGGTATTTAGCCTTCCTCATTGGGGCAATATGTTTGTCCATAGTACTGAAAGTGGCCAGTCTCCTTGTTTTGTGGCTGACCACACTTCTTACAAGTGTAAGGCAGCCTCACTTTCTTTGGAGAGGGAAGGCCTTGTTCTCTCGCTGCCTCTGTTTCCACTTTGAGGGCTTCGGCCTTTCTTCGTCTCCAAGCGATGGTTCTTGGTACTAAAAACATAAATCTTATTTGGTATTTGCATTTTTTAGGGAGATCAATGGTAATTATTATTTATTATGGATCATTATGTACTTACAATTGGATGGGATCCTTTGAGCTTTTTCTACAATCACCAGCTGGTAGAAACAGGCGGTGGCATCACTGGCATTAGATTTGGTTGTAGTTCTGGTGGTTCTGGTAGGGGCTCATCTGCAGCGAGAGGTGGATTTGGAACCGATAGGTCTTGTAGGAGCAGGTTGACCTCATCCACTCTTGCCTTGTTCTTGTACCTGTGAAAAACAGAAAGGAAATAAACAATTTTAAAATGATAATATATAAATATATTGAACTAGTGTTGTATATATATTTAAAATACTCATTGATAATTCATAAACCTTGTGGCAAATCATGTCAGCCATAATATGTCACGTGGAGTGACTTTATATCTGATAAAACACATGTGGCATTATATAATTGTTCATCCTAATTAGTATGATTATATAATGGTTCATCCTAATTAGTATTCTTTTGTAGTCGTATTTTAAGCTATTCAAAACACTCGTTGTCGTGTTTTATCAGATATAAAACGGCTCGGCTGCGCCTCGCGTTTTATATCTGCTAAAACACTCCTACTCGTGTTTTAAATAGTACATATAGATTACTTTTATATTGTATTAAATGAACACTTACCATTTGGAAATTGTTGTCTCATTAACTGGATAGAGTTGGAGATTTGTATCGTCGTAGAGGCGACTGTTGATGACAGTTTCCTCAGGGCATTGTACCTCAACAGCACCACCTTCCACTTGGAAAGGTAGGGACTGCCTGGGCCTTTTGCCCTTTGTTCCACTGCCTCCCCAGTAAATCGTATCATGATTGCCTCTACGAGTCTACTTTTTGAAGGACATCGTGCCACTTGTCCACCAGTTACAAATGTTCTGAAATATATAATAAAAACCAACAATGAATCATTAGCTATTTAACTTATTGTTATTCTTGGAAAAGACTTGTTTGTAGGATCACACAAGCCTACAAAACACAAATACACTTCTCAACGTTTTGAGCAAAGGCCCTTATAGGCTTGTGTGATCCTTACAAACAAGACTTGTCCATCCACACCGCAGCCGACACTAAACCCCTCCAAAAGATGAAGATTGTTAGCTTTGTTTTCCATTTTATATACCTTGCCATTGCCTCAGTGCCAACATGCCCTGTTTTTTTCTTCTTCAGGAAGCGGCCTTTAGCTTTTTTGTAACGTGGACTAAACACCAAGGGTTTCTTGTCGTATTCATCCAGGTTGAGATAAAGTTGTTTGATTTCACCAGCCTGTTTGTTGGTGAAGTGGCTGTCCAAAGCCAGAAGAGCGTTTGCACGTTTTCCAACTTTATCCCAACCTGGAATCCCTGATGCATCCATTGCTGCCTCTTCATCTTCCTATGTAAATAAAAACCAATATATATATATAGAATAATACATGGGTGCGCGGAAATACCAGATTTATTTCGAGTGTTGAACATGATATCTCACGAGTGAGCGCAGCGAACGAGTGAGATATCATGTTCAACACGAGAAATAAATCTGGTATTTCCAAGCACCAATGTATTTTTCTGTTTATTATATAAAGGACAGTCTTTGAAAGGCGATAATTTTTACAGAAAAGCGATAATTGAAAAGCGATAATTTTCACATGTGAGATTATCATGGATAATCTCACATGTGAGATTATCACTTTTATCAGTGCTCGAAATCTCTATAAAGCACTATACTTTATATAATACAATTATAATAACAAATGACATCTCAGAAGCAGTTTAATTATATAAGTTCTTATTTAGACATTACTTCATTGCCACTATCACTGCTGTCTTCAGGATGTGCCACAGTTTCATCTGTCCTGCTATCTCCTTCCTCCTCACCACTTTTCATCTCAAACTCCCCGAATGCCTCGTCTATATCTCTGTCTAGATCTTGCACAGCATCTGGACAATCACCTGTCTGCAAGCGTAAGTACTTCACCCCAATCACTTCTCCTGCATGTATGCAGAGAGGTCGGGAATCTTCGAGTTAAGCCCTTCGAGTTAAGCCCCTCGAGTTAAGCCCTTTTCGAGTTAAGCCCCGGCCACGCCCTGTTTTGCCATGACCACGCCCTTTTTCCAAAAGGGCTTAACTCGAAGAACGAAACACGATTTGGGTCATTCGAGTTAAGCCCCGGGGCTTAACTCGAATGACCCAAATCGTGTTTCGTTCTTCGAGTTAAGCCCTTTTTGAAAAAGGGCGTGGTCTTGGCAAAACAGGGCGTGGTCGGGGCTTAACTCGAAAAGGGCTTAACTCGAGGGGCTTAACTCGAAGGGCTTAACTCGAAGATTCCCGACCTCGTATGCAGATGGGGTGGAAAAGTTAGCCAGAGCAGCCTCATTGTGAATTGCTGATGACAACGCATTAACTCTGTGCATGAGTGAGATGTCAAAACTCCTCAACTTGTCGATTATCACACTGTCTTGTACAGCCCTCTCTCCATTCCACCTTACCAAGCCTTCCACCAGATATGCTTGAAAAGCCACTGCACCATCTGATGTACCTAGTAGAGTAATCACAAAGAAAACAAGCCAATGATAAGTTTATACAGTGTGTCTAGATGTTTGTCATGCTATATAAAGTTATAGTATTTGATATCTTAAAATGGATATTCATACTCCTTTGAAACATGCTCATCTTTGAACAAAACTATCCATTTCAAAACTCTACCTAATCCCCATATTATTTACCTGGTATGAACCTGTTTAGATGAAGGTGAAAACTTTCCAATGATGTGCTACCACGGGCACATCGATTTACAGATAGTGTTTTGCCTCCTTTCTTCAGTGTACCTGTGGCAGTGTAAAGGCTTACACCTGGGGGGTCTTGAAGGCATGGCACATGTTTCCTTTGCTCTACAATTACAATATGTAAACAAATGTTTACAAGTTTTTTTTTTTGCTTTTCTTTCTTCTGCTTTCTTCTTTAGCCACTCGTCTCTTGGTATTTGGCCTTCCTCATTGGGGCAATATGTTTGTCCATAGTACTGAGAGTGGCCATGAAAACTATAGTTCTGTACCAGTAAACTATTATAGTTTTCCTAACTAAAGGACTATAATGTCGATGGGGTGGGGTCGACGAAAAAACTTCTCATCTCTTAAAGTTCCTCGTAACATTCACATAATTCTTTTATTTTGCACTACTATATTGCATATGTCTTCTTCTTAAAATTATTTCCCCCAATTTTTGCCCGACTTACACGTTTCACGAAGAGCCCGGTTTGACAGGCTGGTGCCTAGGTTTCCTACAACACGCGCAAGGCTTCCTGGGATAGCGTCATTCGATCACACCGCCATATTTTTGAAATTTTTATTCAGTTAATTTTTATCTGCTCGAAAGATTAGTATAGGTAACCGCATGGGGTCGAGTAAAATTAAGGTTTAATTTCACGCGTGTTTTCAAAGTTTCACAAACAAGTGGAACAAAACAAAGGTAAAATTTATGCATGTTTCGTGGATTTTAAAAAGCCTTTGACTCTATTTGGCAGGAAGGTCTTTTTTGAAATTACTTGAAAATAAAATTGATGGTCAGTTTTACAGTCTTATAAAGAGTCTTTATTCTAACTCGAAATGTGCTATCAAACAAAACAACATCAGAACACTAAGCCCCCTTTTCATTAATGAAATAACGACCTTATTTAATAACTCCAACTAGGACCCATTTACACTGCCTAACGGAACAGAACTGAGCCGTGTCTTCTTTACGCAGATGATCTAATCAACAGGGACCGTGGAGACGGGGGGGGGGGCTTCCCCACATTTTTTGGCGGCCAAAATTATTAAAACAACGGATTGTTTTTATGTTTGTAAAAGTCTCAATTTTCTTGCTTTCTATGACTATGGTCTTAGAGATTTTTGTTAAAGTTTCTCTCAAAATGCAGGAAATAGCGTTAAAGAGTTATAGAAAATTAAAAATTTTCCTGGGGGTTCTATTTATGACATAGCTCCCCCCCCCCCTCTCTCTAATACGCTCCGCGGGCCCTGATCAATACTATCTAAATCAAAATTCGGCCTCCAAAGTGTCTGGATAATCTCCATAGCTGGAGTAAGAAGAGGCTAATGGAGGTAAACCTAAAGAAACCCAAATTATGATTTTTAAAAAAAAAGGAAAACAAAAATAGCGAAACCAATTTTCACACTAGGAAATGAAATGATATCCGTTGTACAGGAATACTGTTACCTAGGCATAAAGTTTAATCACAATGGTAACTTTGCGTTGGCTATCAAACAGCTGAGTGAAAAAGCCCTGCATGTGCTCTATAGCATTAGAAGACGTCTCAACCTACACCAACTTAGCCCCAAATCTGCTAATTTTCGACAGCATAAGAAGCCCCATTCTTCTGTACAATGCAGAAGTCTGGGGGTGTATATATCAAAAACGATATTAACAAGTGGGATAAACTTCCAGTTGAAAAAGTACACCTAAAATTCTGTAAGCTCTACTTGGGCGTTGGCAGAAAGACGAGTAATATCGCCTCAAGAAGCGAGTTGGAAAGGCACGAAAGAAGCGGAAAATGTTTTCTCACACACTGCTGGGGCCTGATGAAATCAGGGTGTTACAGGGTGGTGCAGGTTAGTTGAGCATATTTTTGTTGTTGCTCAACGTAGCTTGACAGTATTTTTTCGCTCGCGATTTATTTAAATTTATAGAGGCTATTTAACTTAATTTTTTCACGAAAACCATGGATAAACGTAACAAACCAACGGAAAGGTCGTCGAGAGCCTTAAAACGGCTCGAGGCGCATTTGGTCATGTGGGCCATTCGTCAACAGAAGATAGCCCAGCCGATAAAAATGCTGGTAGTGCGCGGCGCAGTGTACGCGAAAGTGAGGATCGCCGACGATCAAGAAGTCCTTCGCGTAGATCGAAGTCTAGTGGTCGAAAGAGGGAAGATCGAAGCCATAGTTCTCGTCGAAGCGGTAGAAAAAATGCACGTGAAGAGGGTCGAAGCCGTTCGCGTTCTCGAGCAAGAAGTACTCGAAGGAAACATTCGCGCCGGTCGCATTCGACGTCCAAGGAACCGCCGGCGTGGGCAAAAGAACTGCTTTGTCAACAACGACAAAACGCGGACGAGTTGAAAAAGTTGAAATCGCAGGTTACGGAAAAGTCAAACGAAGGTTCTCTGACAGCAGCAAAGGTTGTGGAGCACGAGTTTCGCTACGCCGGAAATAAAAAGCAATACGACATCAATCAATCACTCAAAGAATGGATTGCGCGATGGCCTCGGATGACCTGGATGGAGTGTCAATAGAAATCAGCGCGGGTAGAAGCTTACTGATGGAACGAAACAAACATCTGTTACTTGCTGATAAATATGGATGGGACACTGTTGAATGTTATTCAGCTGAGCCTTTAGCTAGTGATTCTGAGGATGAAAAACGGACAAAGAGGGCAATAAAAGAAAGCAAGTAGTTGCGGAATGAGAAGAAAGCAAGAAGCAGCTCATCAACAAAGAGGGCAGTTGAAACTCATTTGTGACAGGTTGTCTGGAACTTCATACATACAATGGCATATTCATCTCAGGTCATTGTTGAATAATGTATTTATTGCAGGTGTGCCGCCTTTCGAGCTGCAGGCTCTATGAGCACGATGTGAGTAATGTTTCGGTGGGAGGTCGTGTGGACCATAGAACCCACAACGTCGTTTGGACCATTATCTACTGAGGTCGTTTGAATTGGACCTGTATATTTTTAGTGCATTAATTTTAGTGTTGACTATAAACTTTGCTATATGTCGTTTGGACTAGCAAGTGACAGGTTGTGTTGACCACTGATTACTTTATGAGGTCATCAAGACGGATAGTTACTGGGGTATTAGTATTTACACTAGAGGTCGGTTTGACCGGTATATGTTTGAATAAGCACTGCAAAAAATGAAATACTTGGCAAGATTTTTTTTCCCAATTTAAGATAATTATTCTTATATCAAGATTATATTTCTTGTTTTAAGAATAGTTATCTGGGTTTAAGAAATTATTTCTACGTTGAGAAACATGTAAAATTAGTTTTTCTTAAATTAAGATACTATTTCTTGACGCAAGGCTTTGTTTCTTGTTTCAAGATTTAAAACTTAATTTCAAGAAAATTTAACTTGGTATAAAGTGGTTAGAAAGGTTATATCATTACCTGAAGATTATTTATCTTGTCTTTAGAAAAATAATCTTAGGTTTGAAAAAATTATCTTTTAAGTTCAAGCTAGTGTATATAAGTTTTCTTGTTTCAAGAATTATTTGGCCACTGTAAGATAATTTTATTAAGGCTGTAGTGAACCCTAAATTTACAAAGCACTCTTTATCTAACCAATCATACTGAAACTTGGCACAAACCTATAGTGCCAAGTATGTTACACATACTAAGCTTTGTCGAAGCACAGTATGGGTGTAGGTTGCCATGACAACCAAATGCATCCAGACTGCAGCACAGCAGAGCTGAAAAAAATACTTGAAGACTTGGACATTGTTTATTAAAGGAACAATATTTTTATAGTTACAGACTTACATGCTGCAGTAGCTAAAAAGTTGACAGTCGTGTTCAAATTTTATATGTTGGAATGGATTATTAATTACTAAGCATAGGGTGGACTGGGCATCTGAGCAAAGTAAAAATAATTTTCATTAATTTTCATTTTATCTTTTAAATTAAAGGCGGGAGAAAGTCCGTTCTGCACAAAAGTCCTGCTCGTAATAGTGTCATTGACTGCATTTCATTAATGTATAATTGATAGTCAAACAATGCATGAAATTCAAATTCCAACTTTCAGGTCCCGCCTATTTTGAATGCAGAACAAAATTTTCCTTACCTTTATATAAATTATTCATTGCTGAATAGAGAAAAGTTATTTGCACGGAGTTTCTGTATTTTTTTACTGTATTTTTTTCTGTATTTTTTTACCATGCAGGCACAAGGCGTTTAGATGTTAGCGTTATATTATGGTAATTTGTTTCGATAATGTGTAAAGCTAATTTTTATATTCTAAATATGTTAAGTAAAATAAAAACTTTATTTCTATATTATTCGATGTATTTTCCAAAATCTTAATAAGATTTATATTTATCTTGGTAAGATTAATACTAATCTTGCTAAGATTTTTAGTAAGATTCGTTCTATTTTTGTAAGATTATTTTTCTTTTATCAAGAATAATTTTCTAGCCAAGAAATATTTTCCTATGTATGGGACAAAAAGAAAAATTATCTTAAATCAATTTTCTTGGTAAGATTAAATTTCTCAAATCAAGAAAATTTTTCTCGATCAAGAAAATCTTATCTAGAAAAATTTTCCTATGTATGGGACAAGATAATTTTGCTTAAATTAAGAAATTTTTGCTCAAAACAAGTTTTTTTTTCTTAAAATAAGCTTTTCATTTTTTGCAGTGAGGTCTGTATGGTTGTATGGAACATGACATGTACTGAGATGTTTTTATCATTTAAGCTGTTTGGGCTACAGAGTTTGTGTGGACCATTGAACCCACAAGGTCATTTGGACCTTTAAAAAATCTACCGAGGTCGTTTGGACCTGTAAACTAAAGTGCATTAATTTTAGTGCTGACTATAAACTTTGCTATATGTTGTTTGGGCTAGCAAGTGACAGGTTGTGTTGACCACTGAATACTTTATGAGGTCGTCGAGACCTGTAGTTACTGGGGTATTAGTATTTACACTAGAGGTCGGTTTGACAGGTAAATGTCTGAATAAGGTCTGCATGGTTGTATGGACCATGTCATGTACTGAGATGTTTTTATTTAAGCTGTTTGGGCTACAGGGGTATTATTATAATATATATTTGTTGGTGGAAGGATGGTGGATTGCGAAGAAAAAGAACAATTATATTGTGGAGTCAAAACTTAACTCTTTACTTTATGTTACAAAAACAATACAGAATGCATGAACTGTGGAATGAAACTCTATGCGTTGTATGGTTGCGGCTGACGCTGCAGCAGCTCCCAGCAGTGTTTGAGAAGTGTTATTTTCCGCTGGCTGAGGCACGAAAGAAGTGGAAAATGTTTTCTCACACACTGCTGGGGCCTGATGAAATCAGGGTGTTACAGGGTGGTGCAGGTTAGTTGAGCATATTTTTGCTGTTGCTCAACATACTGTAGCTTGACAGTATCCCACCCACCCAGACCTTTTATGCTTATTAGTAGAGATTAGGGGAATAGAACGGTTTTGCACTGGGTATATGTACTTGTATAGTAATTATGTAGCGAACAATTGTAATGTATGGTAGTTTAATAAATGTCAAGCCTGCAGCTGACGCTGCAGCAGCTCTGCAGCTGACGCTGCAGCTGCTCCCAGCAGTGTGTGAGAAGTAAAATTTCATGTTCTCTTATACGAAAAATAAACTATACCGCTAGAAAGATCACAAAAACCTATATAAAAGACAATTAAGCGAGTTCTACGTTTTTCGAATCCTATTTCGAATTTTTAATGCTAAAAAATACGGAAATGACCAAATTAATGCTAATAAGTGCCCATTTTGCCAACTTTAACCATCTTTAATTCAAAATCGGCTTGAAAATCGCACTAGTCACTTAACTGTCTTATACATAGTTTTTGCAATCGTTCTAATGGTATAGTTTATTTTTCGTATGACATTTTACATTTTTTGTTAATAGGCAAAAATTAAGAATTCTCAAATTTTCGGCTATAAAGCAAAAATTAGAAGTGGTAACACACACAGTCTTGTTCACCAAGGTTTAAACTATAATAAAATGCCTGTTACCAGTTTCTAACATAAAGTTGCCATAACTCTCTTTAGAGGCACTTTTTGCCATCTTGGCCGGCCGACTATCTTCATTCTTTGCAGTTTTGCATGGATTAAATGATAAAGGTCTGCATGATTTTGAAAAAAGAATGATTATTAGAAAATTATTGGGAGGGGGCTGCAGCCCCCCCCCCCCGGTTGCTACGGCCCTAGGCATGCCCTAGCTGAACATGGTTTGAGAGAATTTATTGACTTATATCAATGCTACTTTCATAAGTTTATAATATTTAACAATTATTTGCCGAAGGCGAGGTGATTATCGGCAGGGTTTTTTCCAGCGATTTTTTAGGGCCGTTTTTTCCAGGATTTTTTACGGCCCCAAAAACTCAATCTTGAATTGAGTTTTGAAACTCAATCCTCTCACCATAGTTTCAGTGCAGTAAAAGTTGTTTGAGTTAAATTCATGACGTGCGGAAATTAATTTTCAATTGGAAACCCGACAATTAAGAAAAAATGGCTGCAATTCATCTCACAACACAAGAAAAACTATGCATTCGCCATCTTTAACCAGTTTATATTTTTTAGACAAAAATGCAGTCCTTGAAACTCAGGTCGGCATTCGACAATGCCGACATAGGCGTACCAGGCG